ATATTAAAATTGGGTAAAGTACTCCCAGTGACAATATATGGTGTTAATTGATTTGATCTCCAAATGGCACAACAGGCTCAGCAGATAGAATAGAATTAAATCAACAAACTTTATGTACAAACAACAAGTGTCGCTTTGACACAAACTGTAGGTTTGTGTCTGTGTCTCATTAATTTTTGGTTTAAACTTGTTTATCATTCATTCAGTGAAGTTACTCACACAGACTAGAGTAGCCAGCAATTTTTCTCAAGTAAGAGTAGCGATTTATAATAATATTACTCAAGTAAAAGTAAAAAGTAAAACTACTCCTAAAAGTAATTGTTTTACAAAAGGTTACTCAAGTAAATGTAACTGAGGAAAGGTAATTAGTTACTACCCACCTCTGCCTGCTGGTAACATGTAACTATGGTTTTTGCTGTAGCTAAAATAGTCACAAGTTTAAGTGTTTGCAACTTTGTACAAACTTTGAACTTGGTATTGCCCCCTGCCCTTTCTTGCATTAAGGTAGCGTTGTATCTTTTTTTGTTACTTAAAAGTCTTTGATAAGTGTTTTTGAAAAATGTTCCCATCCTGGAGTTAGAACATTGGGGTTCTTTGACATTACTTGATCTGACAACACTGGAAAGGATGGCACGAAGCATCAACGATCGAGATGATTAGAAAGTGATGAGTAACAGATGAATATGTAATATTTTAAAATGCTATATGCAAAGCCTTGTGACACTTGCCATGTGGCATGTTAATAATGAAATTCTTGGTGCTTTGCATTGAAAATAAAAGCATCCATGGTGCACTAAGCCTACCATATATTACTATGAACTGTATCTGAATAAACTACAAGAAAAAAGTTACACTCACTGAAGATTAAGCTTACTTAAACCTTAATGAGGCTGCACCTAATTAAGGTTTAAGTAAGTAAGGATCAAGCTACTTCACATTTAAATCTTCCAGTTTGGATGCCGTTTAACCTCTTGACACTTGGTTTTGTCACATGGTTGCAGCATCATTATATCTTAACTGTGAGTCTATTTTTCTATTCTGTCCAATCAATTTTCTTTGCTTTCTTAGCCCATCCTTTACTAACACAAGGATGTATTACTTTGTGCTAAACCCAGAAGCAAATAGCTAGAGTATATCATTTGTGTTTCCTGAACCTTTGTGGATATGATTTGAAAATATATATTTTTTTAAAAAACATGTTTTCAGCTTGAATGAAGGATACAATTACTGCAGGAAGACATGAATTGGCATTAAAATACTGTTGGAAAAAGCAATAATGGTATGTATCCACAGAAGTCGGTGAAAGCAGACAGCTGAAGGCTGTCGCTGCACTTTCTTGACAGAGCCACATATAGTCACAGCCAGGTGTTAGACACATACACACACACACACAATGTCAATAAAAATATTACATGATGGGGGCGAACCATTACCCACACAAACACAAATACCTCAAAACAGCACAGTTCATGTGAAATTATACATTAATATGTGGCAAACCCCTCAAACATATATGAACCTTCTCTTTATTCATTTAATTGAACCCAAATATTGAGAGTACTGGTTAATTCTATTTTAAATTTTTAAAAATTAGTAAAATAAATAAATACAAATAAATACATTTTTGTAGATTGAATTTGCTTAGGAATGTGTGATGGATAAAAGTAATTTTAAAATTAATCTTTTCACTTCTCAGTGGCTATACAACATGTGTTCTTTCCTGTGAATCCACTTAATTGCCAAGTCTTGGACTCAAAGCAGTAAAGCAGAATCAGCTGTAGAATTTTTTACATGGCGGGACAAAGGAGGGGCAAGAGGTCTAGGCAGGGTGGCACATGCCTCTTCAGTGAAATATGTGAAAATTCCCTATATGTAAATGGAGTCGACAAAATACCCACAAAAACACAGTAAAACTTTTTATGGTATCATTATGTCTTCTAAGAAAACAAGGATAGTTTTTTGACACAGAAATGTCATACAAGCTCAGTCATCCAGGTAAGGAAATCCCAGAACGCTGATTCTGTTCATCTGGACATTTTCAGTGGGAGAAACGTTTCGTCATCATCCAGGTGACGTCTTCAGGCTCAGATGACTGCAGGTTTCCCAACCTTATAAACAGTACATTTGCACAATGATTGAAAGCAGCACCACTGACAACAACAGGCTGTGAGGTCAGTTTCTTGATCATTATTGTCATGACTATTGATCAGCGACCACTGTTCGATGACTATTGATCAATGGCCATGAGCACCATTCACAGAGAGCTGGGGAGTGGCTGCAGTCAAAGCATTGTAAGATGGTGAAAGATGAACCCTTTGCAGCTCTAAACACTGCATCCAAAACACTTTGGATTTGTTGATAAGGTGAAAAATGTCATTATGGAGGCAGATGAAACAATGGTCTTGTATGATGTTACATCTCTCTTCACTTGTTTTCCAGTCACTGTAGTTTGTAAGAGATTGCAGTATCACCCCAACTCAGCAACAAGACCTCTCAGCACTGACCAAGTTTGTTTGCTCTTAGAACTCCACATATTTCACATACACGGGTCAGTACTACAGGCAGAAACATGGGTGTGCCATGGGTCCCCCAGTTTCACTCATTGTGGCCAACCTATACATAAAAGAATTGGGAAAGAGGGCTCTGCCCACCCTTGCCCCCTTGTAGATCCGCCTCTGACTCAAAGCTACTAGTTCTCATTGTGGTAATACTTATTGTAAATTTCAGCTTTGGTCACATATGTAGAAAGATTTCACTGTATTGATTAATTGATCTAGAACGCAGGCATTGCCATGTTTATCTATAACACTAAACTTAACAAACAGCGAAATACAAACAGTGACATCATTTGTTACGTGTTTTTATAGTGATCTCCGAACTGTAACAAACGGCCGGTGTTGTTCCAAAGAGTGATCGCCTGTCAAAAACTGATTTCCGGTATTTGCCAAAACTGATTGCTCGTATTTAAACTGCTATAAATAACTTGTTGCTCTAAAACAGTGGTTCCCAAACTTTTTTTGCTGGGCCCCCCTTTGTTTTACAAGAAAAATATTGCCCCCCCACCCCAGTGCGCGCACGCACACGCACAAACACATCCTCCAGCCACACACACCCATCTTTTGCTCCATTGCGGTTTATTTCACACCTCAAACATTTAGTAAACAATTAAACAAATACAAGTAACCTGCAATAAATTACGGGTAGTAAGAGATTAAACTGCTAACTCTTTTACGCTACGTCCGCACGTACGCCGGTGTTTTTGAAAACGCAGCTGTTCGTTCCACACGTAAACGGCGTTTTGAATCACCGAAAACTGGAGATTTTTTAACAAATTTTTTGCGTTTAGGTGTGGGGGAGGGGGGGGGGTACGGAGAACATTATTATATTATTATTGTGGTTAGGTTGTAGTTGTTAGTTTTTATATCTATTGGGTGATATTTGTTGCTAGTATAGCAGTCAAGTAGCGCAGGGTTTTTGTAATTCTGTATATTTAATTATGGTAAGTTAGAACTCTGACTATCTTTACTCATGGATGTATGACTAGATATTAAACTATTTAAATTAATGGATTTGATAATGTGGAGCAGTTGTGTGCTTTGGGTTGGTAGTGTGGTGCTTGTGGAGATTTGATGTCCCCTGTTTTCTAGTCAATGGATGAGATGTATGTGAGCGGGCGGAGTGTGGTTAGTTTTTGGTATTTGTGGCTAGGATGGCTTGGGGATAGAGGCTCCTCTTGAGTCTCTCGTTCTTTGCCCGTTGTAAGATGTCGAACCGTTACTACCAGATTGCAGAAGTTCGGAACAGTTTTTTGTTTGCCAGGTATGGGCGGGTCCTTTTCAGGCTACAACGATAAACGACGTTTAGAATCACTGAAAATGGAGATCTTTTAAAATTCCTTTTTTGTGTTTACGTGTGGACGAGGAATACAGAGTTCATCAGGCAAGTCAAAGGTATGTGCCTTTTTTCACATCACGCTGTGCGCACGTTATTGTTTACATGAGATGAATTGCAAATAGAGACTAAATACTGTTAATCTGACTATCTTCAGGTTTTACACGCTTACATACACACAGTTACTGTCCCTCCATTAGAAAGGCAGAGGCGTCACTGTGTGATTATTGTACGTGTAGTTGTTTTTTTTTCCTGTGTAATAATATTCAACATTGCTATCAATACATTTTTCAAAAAATGCCTCTCTGTGCAAAATGGATTTAAAAACAAAAACAGCTGTGGGATCCTGTTTGTCCGTGATTTGAACCGAGGGAACAAATCATGGCAGGATCAGCCTGATGTTATTTGTATCTCACTGTAACTTTACTGTATAAAGAGCAAACATCTCCCTAGGGGGCGGGCCCCACACTTTGGGAAGCTCTGCTCTAAAATATGTGAAACATATGTCAAATGTATCCCTCATGATATCACAATCAGTTTTTGGTAGTGACTTTTATATAGCCTTTATTTACGCAGTTAAAAAAAATCTCGTTGACATTAAAAATGTCTTTTTAAAGAATAATCTGAGCAAGAGGACAGCAGACATTGCAACAAATATAATAATAGTTCTGTAAACATATTTAAAGTGGACAAACAGGACCGGATTGGTTATAATGTAAGTACAATAACATAGAGTTACAAAGGTACTTGAAAAACAGGTAATTTATATATTTTTTATATAACCCAACCCTGATTACCGAAGTCCACCGAATACCAACATAAGTAAAGATATTACACATATAACAAACACACGGAAACATATGACATCAGTTTTTGGCAGGCGTCACTATAGGCAGAACTTTGTGCCATCAGAAACTGAACTTCTGTCCATAGGATCACTTTTTGACACAACACCGGGTTAGTGCGTTTTATTTGTTGTACTGTCTCTTTAAGAGACCCGGAAATGATTTCCTATGTGTGGTAACTGGTCGTGGGTTCCAGACAGCTTAACCTCCCCCCGGTAATGACATCCCATCCCGTGATTTTGGCTTTCCGGAGCAGTGTAAGGTGCTGGCGACACCGGGCTCTTCTCAGAGTGGCTCTGGAGGCCTCAGACGTCCGCTGCAGGCGCCGGTACTCTACACATATTCGCGGCGGTGTCTCCGGTATGGAGGAGATACTATCGAGGGTCGTTGCACCTTTACCTTCCTACGAAACGAGGGACAAATCCCCGCCCCCACCCGAAACTAACAGCCTGGAGTTCATGTACTTCTACAAAAGTCTCGATAAGGAAGATAAACTTTGTTTCCTAACGAAGCTATCACAAGACTTCGGGGTGGACCACAAAAGTGTTTCGGAGCTCGCACTGAAGCTACTGGACACTCAATTACGGGACTTGGCGACCATTTTGCTAGCTGAAGACAGACTCCGGTACACCTTGACTCCCCGTTATAAACAGCTGTTCAGTCATATAAGCAGAGTCGAGGGGGGAGTGAAGTTTCTTGTGGATCTGCGAGCGGATGTGCTCGAAATAATCTCGTCCAAAGCTAGCGACAGCCCGCACATCAGGGTAATATTCGTTCACATTTCTACGGGTGCTCGCTTGACTCGAGCTCAAGAAATACCTTTCGCGTTTATGTGTTTGACATTGCCGATATAGAGACACTGCATGTGACATAACCTGACAGCATCCAACGGTAGCTACAGTATAGCCTCCTGCACACTGCAGCCTGTGCGCTGCCCCCCCGGTTCATATTTCATCACGGGTTCAGTGCACCTTTGCCCCAGTTAACTCCCCCTTACTAACCATGTAATTAACGAGTCCTTTTTTATTCATTCTTAGTGTATGATTGTTTAACATATTGATTAGACGGGGGCTTGTTTGGGACAAAAACACTGTCAAGCTCAATTTCAGAGCTTTCTTCAGACTTCCTGCGTGTTCTGGATGGACAGCTCAGCTGATCGGAGCTGTCTTCCACTGTTGCTGGAAATCTCTCGTGTTTAAAAAAGACTTTAAAATGTTTAATTCTATAGCTGAATAAGAACTTCTCTGCCGTAGCTACAAAGGGAAAGAACTGAATATTAATCAGGCATGTAATGAATATTTTGAATGCATCCTTTGAAGACAGTTAAAACGGAAAGAAACCCTTAAAGATCCCATTACACCGATCCCATGTTCTTTGCCCACTTATAATGGTACATTTCTGGCAGCGCATTTAACCATAAAGGCAGTCTCACAGGCCTCATCATTCAGGCGTCAATATAATCACACCTTTCAGTTCACACTAGGGTGTAACAGTGCTTATGCACGCTGTAAGTGGTAACAGTGGAATATTTTTAAGTGGGTTTGTCAGCGTGTAGTTCGTGCACTTAGTTTGAGAGTACAGATATAAACACTGTAGAGGTATTCACATCTAAAGCCCCATATTTGATACTAATAGCAATAATAAAATTACCATAAGTGGTTTGATTCTGATATCTGTTCTGTCATTCAGTGTAATGTGCTAGAAAGTCTATCAACTGAACCTTAGTGCTATGTAAACAAATAAAGCAGTTATGATTTTTTTAACTTACATTTTTTAGAGTATTTACATTGTCAGAGTAACATATTCTTCATGATTTTTCCACAGTTACAACATCGGCTTTATCTTTCTTATTGTCTGGTCAGGTGTGGAAAAAGTAAAGATGGAAATTCTGATTACCAAGAAACTGAAACTAGAGAATGTTTGACATTTGTGATGACATTTTTATTTCAAACTACAACAATAATCGTATTTAAACATAGAAAATATCAACTTGATCAAAGAGCTTACACATGCTGCTGAACTAAACATAACAGAAACATAAAAAATGATTTTGTTAGTTACAAGTACTGGTAATTGCATACATGCATTGTTTATGTGGCAGTTCCTGCAACTGCAGTATGTTTACAGGATGACTTTTCTGTTGGTTTCATGTCAGCCTCTGACTTGCGTTCCCTTATGCCTGCTGGCTCTCAATGTTGGACCCAGACTGATTAGATGTGAAAGTGGAGTTATAAATAACCCACTGGTGTTATGTAAGCATGCTATCATGCTCAAACTGCGTAAACCGTGGATTTCATTTACAGGATTCCAAAGACAGAATGTCACATAAGTTTGTGCTCATTTTAAACTTGATGCCAGCAGCAGATTCCAAAACGTTGGGTCAGGCATACGTCTTCAATGAAGAAAGATATTGTCTTGAAGTAAACCTGCATATATCATTCAGCAGTAATGGTATAGATGTAGACCAGTGCCTGCCTATACAATCAGATAAAATTTCAGACCGCAGGCATGCATTTAACTTTAGTCTGTGTTAAACAAGCTCAGGCACAGCGTTTTTCTTTCCTGAGTTTTTAACTGGTTTTTGTAGTCAGCCATCATAATTAATTGATAGTTTGCAACCCTATTTTTATTTGTTATATTCAGGTTTTGTACCAAACATGATGAAATCCGCAAATTCTTTGCAATTTTATGTTGAGAAAGGTTATTCTAAAATAGCTGAATTGTTTGCCTGTGCAGTCATTCGCAAAGTGGTAAACCTCTCCACATTTTCACTTATGAAAGACGGTCTCTCCGGGACGCCTTTTTAATCCAATCATGTTCCAACAGGTGCTTTTCTTCCTTTAAGATACAGCGTAGCAGTGCTCTCAACTCCAAGTCTTTGAAGGCGCACAGGGTGCTATTTTAAAGAAATCTAGATGGGAATGAAAGTACTGGCGCTTTGTGAGTGTACTTCACTATATTTATTAAAGGGCTAAAAGACGGATGCCTTTCAGTAATAAGCCATCACGCTGAGGTACTTTCTTTCACTTCTACTTTTTCTTTATTAAGCATTGCACGTCTTTCCAGCCTTTATATAAGTTCCAACTTTTTCTTTTATAAGTTTGGCTTGCTGGCATCAAGCTCAGAATGAGCAAATCTTTCTCAGTCTCAACATTTGATAAAACCTCATTAACATCTCTGTTTAGTTTTGTGTTAAAAACCCACATTTTTCTTTATGTAGCTCATGAAAATGATTTCCCCCCCGATTCTCCAACATACTACATAAAAAGGAAGCTGCTGATCTGTAAAATTCTTGTGCTGAAATATGCGAATCAAAATTAGAAAACCACAATCAAAAGCTATTATAGTTCAACTAAAATATCTTTTTCTGGTATCATAAGCAGCTATTTTATGAAAGCCTACTTTAGTCATCTTCAGCTTCTACGTTTTGCTTTGGAAAGCACTGAAAGTGCATATGCCTTTGACCTTGCAATCATGTGTTTTCATGTGTTAAGTGCTACTGGCTGATATGTTTTTTAAAGACCCCGATTGCACCGTTCCTGCTCTAACGTGGTTCAGATGTGCTTAATCTCAATAACCCAGGACCACTGAGAGCCTGTGTAGCTTAAAAAGGTCTAAGTTGCCAACAGAGTACCGACTTCTTCTCAGCACTGTAAACGTTGGTCTTGTTGGTGCCTCGTAATCTTTGCTTGTTGTTACCGCCTGCATTGATTGAGCTAAAAAAATGAGAAAAGGTCACAGCCTACGTGAAGCTTTTAGTACCTGCGTTGAAGGTATGTGCATACCAAGGTTGACCTTGCAATCAGAATATGGTAATGACTGTAGAACTACAGTACAGCATACAAGGCTTGGGTACATTCACTTTTTAAATGTACCCAAGACCGAGTCGCTGTGTTTCTCTTTCATTTAGATTAGTTGGATTTGCATATTGACTTTTGATGTTCCCTCTCACCTTTTTGCTTCAGGCCCTTTCATTTGTGTTCACCCAAACTGCAACTGGAAGATGTTGGGACCAGTCATGGGAACAACGGCGTTACAAGTAACGGCGTTACTTTTTGCAGTAACGAGTAATCTAACTAATTACTGTTCCTATCGTTACAACGCCGTTACCGTTACTACCAAGAAAATGCAGTCGTGTTACTATTTTTCAACAAACAGACGGGTGAAGCTGTGTTCAGCTCACCGCATCTTATATCAGCTGCAGGAAGTAGCTGTAAGTAATCTGGGCGCTGCAGCTTTAAGCGACCGTGGCTCAGGGGGTTGGGAAGCGTATCTGTAACCGGAAGGTCGCCGGTTCGATCCCGGGGCTCTCTGTCCTGGTCGTTGTGTCCTTGGGCAAGACACTTTACCCTACTTGCCTACTGGTGTTGGCCAGAGGGGCCGATGGTGCGATATGGCAGCCTCGCTTCTGTCAGTCTGCCCCAGGGCAGCTGTGGCTACAACCGTAGCTGCCTCACCAGTGTGTGAATGTGAGAGGGAATGAATAGTGGCATTGTAAAGCGCTTTGGGTGCCTTGAAAAGCGCTATATAAATCCAATCCATTATTATTATTAAGCAGCTGCGCTCCCGCGGACGGTGATCACTTTCTGCCTGACGATCACTTTTTGGCACAACACCTGGAGCTCAGGGGGCAAAACAATGGCATGAGTGCTGCTGTTTGACTGAGGAAGAATAAAGTAGTCGTGGTAAGCCAATCACATGGCCACTTAAAGACAAAGCAACAAGGTGCCTCTCGAGACCTCTCTGCTTATGAGCAACAAATAAAAAAACAAAACAAAAAACAGCCCTTTGGTGTTGGTGGAAAAATGCACCATGTCGACCAATCAAGAAATGATATGGAAACATGACGTTTGGTTGTTTAGGAAGAGGCGGAAGTTTTAGGAGTGACAGTGAGAGAGCGAGTTTTGAGATGTGAGAGATTTGTGACGTTTAGCGTGTTTGGAGTGTGTAGTTAATGTGTCGTTTTGTGTAGTTAGTGTGTAGTGTTGTGGATAGTTTTGTGTTGTGTGTCAGAACAATGAGGCGACTGCTGTCTCCAGGTAGAAACAGGAGTGACACACCTGCTGCTGTCAGACCTGCAGGTATCAGGCTGTGATGTTTCCTTTATAGTGGACAGAAATGATGTTTTTGGAGCTGCACAAATAATTTGTGGCATCTTATTGAAAAAGCAATAAAAGGTAAATGGCTGCAAATAACTTTATTATTTGCAAAACTTGTACATAGATTTTAAAATTGACAATTTATATTTGCATTTAAAGTTATGAAATATGATTCATTAAACATGTTTGTGGTTGTTACAGTAAAAAATCCACCTTTTCTACTCGGATTTTATGTTTTTTGTCTGATTTTAGATCAATACAGTCTGTCAAAATGAAAACACGACTGTAAATTCAGACACGTGAGGTTGTGCTGAAAACAATGATAAACAAGGCAAAGGAAATAGTTTTTAAAGGTGAAATGTGGAGGGAAAATCAAACGTAGTGAAAAATGGCCAATTATACCCTGGAGCCCAGGGGGTTAAACGTTTTTTTTAACGTAACGTAATAGTTCATTTTCAAGTAATTAATGACTTTTAGAATATTGTAACTCAGTTACTAACTCAGTTCCTTTTTCAAGAAGTAACTAGTAACTGTAATTAATGACTTTTTCAAAGTAACTTGCCCAACACTGGTTAGGACATGTCGAGGATATCGTGTTAGTTGGCTCCCTGGGGGTGCACGTGTCAGCGGGACTATTTTTTCCCCTTCGACGCACAAGCCTACAAATGGCACGCGCCCTGCTGGAGCAAAGGTACTGGCAGGCTCTGACTGACCTTTGAAACACTTGGACAGTCAGTGGTCATCTGGCCTTGTGCAGGCAGCTCATGCTGGCTCACTGTATAGTCACAAAATAACTCCAGCTCGAGGTAGAGAGGCTGCTTGTAGCAGAGGCTGTATCACCTTACAGCATCCGCGCCCGGCTGCATTGATACGGCTCCAGTGTCAAAAGTGTCGCTTCATTTTCTTTTTAATGGGTTGCAGGATTTTCTTTTTTACCCCTTCCCTTTCTTTCTGCCATCCCTCTCTCCCTCTCTCCTAACTCGAGGCCTTGAATGATGCACTCTTCCATTTCTAAAGACTCCATCTTCTGCTGGGTCAATGGAATACACATCCCAGTTTGACCTCTCTTTTGTGTGGGTGAAAATTGGCCGCCCAAGCCAGCGGCTGCTATTCCCTCACGGCGTTGTTGATGTGCGTATCAGCTATCGTAGATTATTTCCCTTCTGGCAGCTTGTGAAGTCTGAGGAACACATATATACTATGAAATAAGTCGAAATTGAAGTTTTGCTAAAATTGTATTTCAGGGTTACTTTTGATTTGCTCTTTGCTCAACAGAATCTTCTAGTCTGAAACTTCTCAACCGTACAGCTGAATAATGCGGGGCCTGATGCTTATGTGTGGGGATGAATTTCAAATGCTGTTAGCTTTGGATTCGATCGCTGCTCGTGGAGAATTTCAGCCACTGGCTTTTACACCGTGACTGTAGTTGTGCTTGTTTGTATTAGCTTTTATTATGATTGACAAGCTGGCATTAAAGTAAGCCTGAAGAGAAGCCATCCTATGAAACAGCCAATATAAGCTCTATTTATGTGCCTGAGTGTGTGCACCTTGTGAGCTTGTTTGTGTGTTTGCAAGAGATTTGCTTTAAATGAAGTCTGACCTTTGTTGGAGGACAGGCCTGCTTTCAAATGGCAAGTTGCTTATTGAAGTGCCCCTTCTACGCTTATTGCAAGCTCGAACAAATCACTATTCATAATGTGAAAACATTCAAACTGTATACCGACGCCCAAAGGAGCACACATCCAGGCACAGTGTCCAAGATGTGGCCATGAATTGTTCATTGCCACAGACAAACTTCAGCTGCTGCGCTGCTCTACTTTGTGAGTTCTTAATAAAACAGGTCACGAGGTTGTAACGCCTGTATTTATCCAGTTCTTAATAGGAATAGAAAAGACAGTATTTTATTTTCCACTTCCAGCTTTTCACTGCAACAGTGAAATGACATTTAGTTAGTGCTTGCATTACTCAATATTGTGGATGACCTTCTTTTTCTTGTACTATATTTACTTGACAGAGCAGCTGCTGAGCTGCTCTCTGAAACAGAAAGAATGTGGCGAATGTTTCAATTATCAGCTGGATGTGGCTGTTGCAGCTAAACGCTCCCCTTTTTCTCCCACAGGACCTGAATGGTGCGCTGAAGAGCTTGCTGTCTGAGTGGTTCTCTGTAGGTCTGCTGCGACTCGAGAGAATCACCTGGCAGTCCCCCTGCGAGATCCTGCAGAAGATCAGCCAGTAAGGGCATTACTGCGACTCACGCAGTGTTGTTCCTCATCTTTAACTGTAGAATCGCATCGCAGGCTGTTTTTTCTTCTTCCCTGAAGCACATTAGACAGCACAGTTTTAAAAATGACTGTTTACTTAACCCCTCCTCTGTAACCATAGGGACAGCGGGCTTGTCCACGTGTTTAAATGAACTTCATGAGCATTTAAACACGTGGACAGGGCTGCTGTAGCATGACAGAGGGAGGTAAAAACACACACATGCACCTGCTTGCACACACTAGTTTGAAGTACTTGTTGGGAGAAGGTGCTACAGCTGATTAATGTATTTAAAGCAGTCCAACTAGCTGTGCATTTCTCTCTTTTATCTTTACCTAAAGATTCAGCTACAGGTTTTGGAAATGATTAGTATTAGAATATAACTGTAGCTTTACTCCAGGCTCTAGGGGGAGTCATTTCACTTCCTATTCCCACTGTACAGAAATGAGGGGCACTTTAGAAGGCGGGTAAACAAGGTAGCAGGTGAGACAGTCCTCAAAATATTGCAGTGAAATTAGCTAAATGGGCAACAAAGTTTATATAATCTAATATAATATAAATAGGAGCCCTATTAAGCGCCCCATGTGAAGCTATTGCTATAAAGATCTTTCACAGCAGCCAGTTTGATGTAAAAGTTTGCAAACACAAATGTTAGTAATCACTTTAATTAAGACTTTGTAACGCCTGTATTTAGCTTTATATTAATTTGGCTATTTTATGTTAGAATAGCAGAAAAAGAAGGTCTTTTGCAAACCGTTGCAATTAAAAACGTAATATTTGAAATTGAGTAACACAACACTTTTATCTTTGAATGAAAAATGAGGAAAATGTCATTCAAAGCTAACTGGCTCGACGCAGCTAATCAGACCCACTTGTGGTGGTTCTTTGAGCCGCCCGAATGAGACGCCGCTTTTGTCGACCTCCGTCTGAGCTGAAGGATCCTGTGCTGCAGTTTTTTTAAGCTGCTGTGATTATTTAAGCTGGAGGCGTGTAACTAATAACATTACATATCGGTAACCAAGGACTTTGGAGCTAACCATGAGCCTGCCTTCTCCCAGGTATGAGGCAGTGCACCCTGTAAGAAACTGGACCGACCTGAAGCGCAGAGTGGGACCGTACCGACGCTGCTATGCCTTCACCCATGCTGCCATGCCGGGAGAGCCCTTGGTTGTACTCCACGTGGCTCTGACTGAAGACATCTCTGATAACATACAGGTTAGACTCAGTAGCCGGAGGCTGCTGTATCGGTTTGTGTCCCTTTATTAAAGCGTAGAAGACAGTTACACGTCTGGGATTTACTGTGTCGGTCCTCCTGTCACATGACCAGTATGAAGAAACATCACGGCCAAGGCCTTGTCACTGCACATCCCTGTTTAAACAAAGCTTTATGCTCAGCAATCGCTTCTTTTTGTTTTTGTGCGAGCTAAAGGCGGTTTTCACAACACTGAAATCCAAGAATATTTCACAGTGTAAAATTGTGCAATGATTTCCACAGTTCTGCCCCAGCGGCTCTCAAATAGTTGTAGTGAAACTTGCCCTGACAGCAGCTCAGCAGCTAAGAACACTGAAAATGGGTTTACAGCTGCATGAGTAGTGCAGGATTTGTCTTCCTTACTCCAGCCTAAAGAAAAAATGATCTTCTCTCTTTCTTTTTTCTCAGAGTATTGTTCGTGAGTTTGCCACCCTGGACTCAGACGAAGACGTGAATAAGATCAACTCAGCTATCTTCTACTCGATCTCTTCAACACAAGCTGGCCTGCAAGGGGTGGAACTGGGAAATGTCCTCATCAAGAGGGTGGTGCGTGAATTGCAGGTAAGCGAACGTGGGCTGCAGGTGCTTATTAGGGGTGCAACGATACTCGTATCGATATTGAACCGTTCGATACAGT